ATGGCATTAATATAAAATGCTCAATCAAAATCATAAAGTCAGAAAAGCAGTGGAAAACAAACAAAAGAAAAGCACAAGGGTAATAAATAGATACTATTCCAGATATTAATCTAACTATATAAATAATAACTTTAAACATAAATAGTCAGTCTAAATATACTAATTGAAAGATAAAGACTGTCAAAGTGGATAAGAAACATGTTGTATGCAAGAAACCTAGTTAAAATATAATGATACACATAAATTAATATGAAAGAATAGAAAAAGAATATACCATAATAACACTAATCAAGAGGTAGCTGAAGTAGCTATATTAATCTGAGACGAAGCAGACTTCAGAACAATAAAAATTAGCAGGAATAAGGAGGGGTACTACGTAATGGTAAAGGGGTCAACTATCCAAGAAGACATAACAGCCCTTAATGTATATGCCCCTAACAACAAAGCATTAAAATACATGAGGCAAAAATTTACAGAATTTCTAGGAGAAAAAAAATAAATCCACTTTTTTAGTTGGGGATGTCAACAACCTTTTATCACTAATTCACAGATCCAGTAGGCAGGAAATAAGTAATGACATAATTGAACCAAACAGCACCATCAATTACCTAGATCTTATTGACATTTATAGAATATTTCCTCCCAAAGCAGCAGAATATTTATTCTTCTTAAGCTCATACAGAACAGTCACCAAGATAGCACAAATTCTAGATTATAAAGCACCCCTTAACAAATTTAAAAGAATAAAACTTACATGAAGTATGCTCTGAGACAACAATAGAATTAAATCAAATACTGCTAACAGGAAAAAAGCTAGAAAAACACAAAATATTTGGAGATTAAACAACATATTTTTTCTTTTTCTTTTTTTCATCAACGTCTATTTTAAGTTCCAGGTTTACATAGGTAAACATGTGCCATGGTGATTTGCTGCACAGATCAACCCACCATCTAGGTGTTAAGCCCGGCATCCATTAGTTATTTTTCCTGATGCTTTCCCTCTCCCTGCCCCCTCAACAAGCCCTTGTGTATGTTGTTCCTCCCCATGTGTTCATGTATTCTTATTGTTTGGCTCCCACTTGTAAGTGAGAACATATGGTGTTTGGTTTTCTGTTCTTGTGTTTGTTGAGAATAATGGCTTCCAACTTCATCCATGTCCCTGCAAAGAACATGATCTCACTCCTTTTTATGGCTGCATAGTATTCCATGGTGTATATGTACCACATTTTCTTTATCTAGTCTATTATAGATGGGCATTTGGGTTGATTTCGTGTCTTTGCCATTGTGAATAGCGTGTCAGTGAACACATGTGTGAACATATCTTTATAATAGAATGATTTATAATCCTTTGGGTATATACCAAATAAAGGGATTGCTGGGTCAAATGATATTTCTGTTTCTAGATCTTTGAGGAATCACCACACTTTCACAATGATCGAATGTTCACATTCCCACCAACAATGTAAAAGTGTTCCTTTTCTTCCACAATCTTGCCAGCATCTGTTGTTTTTTGACTTTTTAATAATCACCATTCCGACTGGCATGAGATGGTATCTCATTGTGGTTTTGATTTACTTTTCTCCCTTTTTTTTTTCTTAAGATGGAGTCTTATTCTGTCACCCAGGCTGGAGGGCAATGGTGTGATCTCAGCTCACTGAAACCACCGCCTCCTGGGTTCAAGTGATCCTCCCTCCTCAGCCTCCTAAGTAGCTAGGATTATAAGCATGTACCACCATGCCCAGCTAATTTCCAGTAGAGACAGGGTTTCATCATGTTGGCCAGCCTGGTGTTGAACTCCTGACCAAGTGATTTGCCTGCCTTGGCCTCCCAAAGTTCTGGGATTACAGGCAAGAGACACTGCACCCAGCCTGCTTTTCTCTAATAATCAATGATGTTGAGTTTTTTTGTCATATGTTTGCTGGCTTCATGAATGTCTTCTTTTGAGAAGTGTCTGTTTATGCCCTTTGCCCACTTTTTAACGTTTTTTCTTGCAAATTTGTCTAAGTTCCTTGAATACTCTGGATATTAGACCTTTGTCAGATGGATAAATTGCAAAACTTCTCTCCCATTCTATAGGTTGTCTGGACACTCTGATGACAATTTCTTCTGCTGTACAGAAGTACCTTGGTTTAATTAGATCCCATTTGTCAATTTTTGCTTTTGTGGCAATTGCTTTGGTGTTTTTTTCATGAAATCTTTGCCTGGGCCTATGTCCTGAATGGTATTGCCTAGATTTTCTTCTAGAGTTTTTTTAGTTTGGTAAACAACACACTTCTAAACAACAAATAGGTCAAATAAGATCAAGATAAATTTTAAAATATTTTGAACTAAATGAAAAATGAAAGTACAACTTATTCAAATTTGTGGAATGTAGGGAAAGCAGTGCTTAAAGGGAAATATATGGCATTAAATGCATACATTAGGGAAGAAGGCAGACTTAAAATCAATAACCTAAAAAATTAGAAATTGGAAGATGAAGAGTAAATTAAATACTAAGCAGAAGAAATAAGAAAAAATTAGAGTATCTATAAATGAAATGGAAAACAATAAAGAAAATCAGCAAACCAAAATCTGGTTCTTTAACAAGGTAATTGATTTGGCAAGCCTGTAAAAGTCAAAAACAAAAAAAAAAGAGAGAAGACACAAGTTACTAATATCACAAATGAGAGGGAAGTCATTACTACTGATCCTATCCTATAAACATTAAAATAATAATAAAGGAATATTATGAACAACTCTATGCCCACAAATTTGATAACCTAGATGAAATAAACAAACTCCTTGAAAGACACAATACCAAAATTCATACAACCAGAAATAGACAATTTAAAGAGGGCTATATCTATTAAAGAAATGGAATAAATAATTAATATAGTCTAAAACAGAGGGAACCAGGCCAGGAAGAATCACTAGTACATTCTATGAAACATTTAAGGAACTAATAACACCAATTCTCTACAATGTCTTCTAGAAAATAGACCCAGAGAGACTACTTCTTAACTCATTCTATGAGGGCAATATTACTCTGATACCAAAACAAGAAAAACAAAAAAACTACAGAGCAGTATCTCTCATGAATACAAGCAACATTCCTCAACAAATTATTAGCAATGAACCCAACAATGTAGAAAACGAATTACACAACATGATCAAGTGGGATTTATTTGAGGTGTGCCATGCTTGTTCAACATTAAAAAATCAGTTAATGTAACCTATCACATCAACAGATAGAAGAAGAGATATCATATGATGATATAAATAGATGCAGAAAAAGCATTTGACAAAATCCAACATTCATTCTTAATAAAGACTTAGCAAACTGGGAGTAGAGGGGAATGTCTTCAATTTGACAAAGAGTAGCTCTAAAAAACATATAGCTATCATCATACTTAATGGTGAGAAACTAAATATTCTCTCCCTAAGATCAAGAACACTGTAATAATGTCCCTTCTCACCACTCCTATTCAACATTGCACTGGAAGTCCTAGCTAATTTAATAAGATAAGAAAGGAAATAAAAGGGATACAGATCAGGAAGGAAGAAACAAAGCTGTTTTTGTTCACAGATATCATGATTGTGTATATAGAAAATCCAAAAAAATAAATTAAAAAACTCCTGGAACTTGTAAATGATTAAAATAACTAGAGCATACAAGACTAAAAGATAAAAGTCTATTGTTTTTTCTATAAAACATCAATAAACAATTGGAATTGGAAAGCAAAAACAAAACACTATTTACATTAGCACCAAAGAAATGAGATATTTAGGTATGTATAAGACCTACATGAGGAAAACTACAAAATTCTGATGAAAGAAATCAGAGATCCAAATAAATTGTGAGATGTTCATTCTTATGGATAAGAAGACTCAGTACTGTTAAAATGTCAGTTTTTTTCCATTGTGCATATAGATTCGATGCAATCCCAGTCACATATCATCAAGTTATTTTGAAAAGCTATTTCAAAAGTTGGTGTGGAAAGGCAAAGGAACCAGAATAGCTAAAACAAACAAAAGTTAGAGGACTGATACTACTTGATTTCAAAATATACTGTATAGTCCTTAAAACAGGTATAGTATTAGAGAAAAAAATAAATACATCAACATCACAGAACAGAGAGTCCATAAATGGACATAAATATAGTCAACTGACCTTTGACAAAGAAGCAGAGGCAATACAATGGAGCAAAATTAGGCTGGAAAAACTGGACACTCCTGTGGGAAAATAAATTAATCTGGACACAGACCTGACACCGTCACAAAAGTTAACTCAAAATGGATCATAAATTTGAAATGAAAAATTATAAATCTTCCAGAAGATAACAACATCAAAGTGAGAAAATCAAGAAGACCTTGGGTTTGAAAATGAGTTTTTAGATACAACACCAAAGGCATGATCCATGAAAAAAAAGTTTAAGTGAGACTTTCTTAAGATGTAACACTTCTGCTCTGCAAAAGACACTCTTAAGAAAATGACAAGCAAGCCATAGACTGGGAGAAAATGTTTGCAAAACATATGTGATGGAGAAGTCACAAGAAAATATACAACAAACTCTTAATAACAGTAAGAAAGTTAACCTAAGTTTAAAACAGGCAAAGAGCTGAACAGACACCTGACTAAAAAAAGCATTCAGATGGCAAATAAGCACACAAGGTACTCTACATCACATCTCATTAGGGAATTTCAAATTAAAATAACAATGAGATATTATTATATACTATAATATTACATACTACTATACTACTATATACTATACTATTACATTTTAGCTGCTGTAATAAGATGTATATATACTATATATAGTATATATACATATTACTATGTAATAGTATAGTATATACTATACTATTACAGCTGCCAAAATTCAACATTGACAACACCAAATGCTGATAAGGATGTGAAGCAATAGGAATTCTCATTTTTTTCTCATAGGAATCTAAAATAGTACAGCCACTTTGGAAGACAGTTTGGCAGTTTCTTACGAAGCTAAAAATAATCTTACCATATGATCTGGCAATTGTGTTCCCTGGTGTTTATCCAAATGAATTGAAAGCTTATGTTCACAAAAAAACCTGCAAATAAATATTTATTAGTAAGCACCAAGAATTGGAAACAACCAAGGATAAAGACACTGTGATACATCCATACAATGGAATTTAATTCAACAATGAACACTAATTAGTTAATTATCAAGCCATAAAGAGACATGCAGGAACCTTAAATGCAGGTGGCTAAGTGAAAGAAGCTAGTAGGAGAAGGCTGCATACTATATGATTCCAACTATATGACATTCTGGAGAAGACAACACAATAGGACAGTAATAATTTCACTGGTTTCCAGGGTCCCAGGGAAAAAATTAGCCAAGCATGCTGATGTGGTGTGATCTCAGCTCACTTCAACCTCTGCCTCTTGGGTTCAAGCTATTTATCCTGCCTCAGTTTCCCAAGTAGCTGGGATTTCAGACATGCATCAGCATGCCTGGCTAATTTCTTGTATTTTTAGTAGGGATGGGGTTACACTATGTAGGCCAGGCTGGTCCTGACCAGTAATCCAGTACTTTGGGAGGCTGAAGCGGGTGGATCACCTGAGGTCAGGAGTTCAAGACCAGCCTGGACAACATGGTGAAACTCCGTCTTTATTAAAAATACAAAAATTAGGTAGCCGCAGTGGCGCATGCTTGTAATTCCAGCTACTCGGGAGGCTGAGGCAGGAGAATCACTTGAGCCCGGGAGATGGACGTTGCAGTGAGCCGAGACTGCGCCTTTGCACTCCAGCCTGGGTGACAGAGCGACATTCAGTCTCAAAAAAAAAAAAAAAAGGCCAAGAGCAGTGGCTCAGGTGTGTAATCTCAATACTTTGGGAGGCCCTGGAGGGCAGATCACGAGGTCAAGAGCTCAAGACCATCCTGGCCAACATGATGAAACCCTGTCTCTACCAAAAATACAAAAATTAGCTGGGCATGGTGGTGTGCTCCTCTAGTCCCAGCTACCCATACACCTGTGAATTGGCCACTTGGATGTGAAGGCAGGAGAATCACTTGAACCCAGAAGGGGGAGGCTGCAGTGAACCAAGATGGTGCCACTGCACTCCAGTCTGGTGACAGAATAAGACTCCATCTTAAAAAAGGAAAAAAAAGATACCAGGAAGTAACCCCACATATCTCCTTATACCACCATTTTGCTGCACGTAAGAGAACACTGTACTCCACTGGCTTAAACAAATAGGGGGTTGTTTTTCTTACATAACAAGAAGTCTGGAAGGAGGTCACTGTTCACTTGGTTCAGCAGGTTGTTGATGTCAAGGCAAATATCTCTGAAATTCTCTGTTCTTTCTCTCACACTTATAAGACAGCTATCCACCTCCAGCGATGATACACATAGTGAATTCAGAAAAATGGGGAAAGAAAAGGACTACGCTAGTGAAATATGTCTCAGCAGTCCTTCCAGTAGATTTTGATTTGACTCAGAATCATGGCTTGGCCCAGTCACCTCATTATATTCCAGGTAATCTTCCAAACGTCCTCATGGGTCTGATGATCTTCTACAGCCAGAGCCTAGATATCAATGATGTGGGCCATGCATCTGCTTTTGTGACGGGTGAATTTTTGAGGGAAATGGCAATTGGATGCTCAGCTCCTGGGGGAACAAGGTGTCAGAACACTCTTTGGTTCTGACAGGCCTGCTAAGGTACCCTCGGGTGAGGGAAGCTGGTGTTCTCTGGGCTCTCAGATGGCCAGCTTCACAGATAATTTAAACTGGCTTTTGGCACTTGGCAGGGTGGCTCAATGGCAAATCTCTCTCATGGCAAATCCCATGTCTCGTGAAAACAAAATAATGGTGCTTAGTTAAATTTTGTTGCACTCCCCTTTTGTGCTGGATGTTTATTATGCTAGTTTTAAAAACTGACTTTCAACTAGCTTGGTGGATGACTAACACACGGGCCCAATAAATGGACTGTAGGCATTTTAGCTGCCTTCAATTCAAGGGAAGAAGTTACTTAATATGGTAAGAGTATCAACCCATCCTATCATCCCTGTATTCCACATTTCTGTAATACTGCTTTTCCCAGAGGCTATCAATTTCCCCAAAGCCTTGCCTTCCATGGACAGAGTCTGTGTCCAAAGAGGATAGTTTAATTAGCTGCTTCACATATCTCAAACTATCGGAAAATAAGCTTTCCATCTTACATAGGAGAGGGAATGCCCACTGACAGCCTCACCTATGGATTGGCTACTTGGATGTGAAGACCATCCCAGGACAATTCATATTATATTGGGGACAGTCATTGTACAGGAATGCCCAATGGATGAGATGCCACAGACATCTTGAGAAGATGCCATGATTGCATTTAGTATAATGTGAAAGTGCTTTCTAGGTGGTAGAGTACTAAGCAAATATAGGCATTATTATAGAACTTCAACCAGAGCTGGCCCTTGGAAGATGAGTAGAATTTCAGCAGATGGAGAAGGTAATATGAATCATTAGTGCTCAAGGGGTATGGAAGAGTAAAAATAAATGCTGAGTTGGGGAGGAAATAAGTGTTCCTATAACAACGGAATACATAATTATTCCGCTGCTGTTACAAAGTTGAAAAACTGGGTTAAGGTCAGCTAAACCACAGAAGATGCTGAATGCCATGCTAAGGGAGTGCGATTTCCTGCAGGTCATGGGAAGTCACTGACAATTTTTGAGGAGAGGAATAATCTAATCTGATCTATATATTCGGGAAGATAATCCTAGTAGCAGTGATAAGGGTGACATGGAGATGCAAATGCGGAGACAGTAAGACCACTTACAGAGCTTACTCAATAGAGGAGAAATAGACTTGAAGGTTTAAATTGAAGAAACATAGCAGAGAACAAATTACTGGAATTATACTATTGATGGGAAATTGCGGTAGCAACCATTAGTGGTCTCCCACTGTCTGCTTTCTCCTTTGCATTAGTCTGCTTAGGTTGCCACAACAAAGTACCACAAACGGGGTGGCTGAAGTGACAGAAATATATTGTCTCTTAGTTCTAGAGGATACACCTCTGAAATCCAAGTGTCAGTGGGGTTAGTTACCTGTGGGGGCTGTGTGGGAGAATCTGTTCCACGTCTTCCTCCTTGCTCCTAGTGATGGCCGGCAGTCCTTGGTATTTCTCCTGTGTGTTTCTATCTTCTTCTTCTTTTCTTTTCCTTTTTTTCCCCCTGAAACAGGGTCTTGCTTTGTCACCCAGTCTGGAGTGCAGTAGTGCAAAAACAGCTCACTGCAGCCTCGACCTTCCTGGCTCAAGCAATCCTCCTACCTCAGGACCCCTGCTTCAGTCCCAAGTAGCTGGGACTGCAGGCAGGTGCCACCATGCCTAATTAATTTTTGTATTTTTTTTGTAGAGATGGGGTTTTGTCATGTTGCCCAGGCTGGTCTCCAACTCCTGAGGTCAGGTGATCCCCACCCATCTCAGCCTCCCACAGTGCTGAGATTACAGGTGTGAATTATCACACCTGGAATTTTCTGTTTCTTTTTCTTTTTTCTTTTTTTAATAAGGACACCAATCATATTGGATAAGAGATTGACCCTACACAAGTATGATGTCCTCTTGACTAATTATACCTGCAATGTCCCTATTTCCAAATAATGCCACATTCTGAGAAACTGGGGATTAGAACTTCAACATATCTTGTTGGGGGACACAATTCAATCCACAACATCTCATATGCATACTAATGGACTTCTGATTTCCAGCTGGCACATTTCCACCTAGCTGTGGCCACATGGATGAATGTAGGCCAAAGAGGTGAAGGTCAAAGTGTTGTGTGACAATATCTTCTGCAAATCTTCCTTAAGGGTCAGTGTACAGGTCCCTTTTGACCCATCTTCATGTTTTCCTCTACCCTGCTTTAAGAAATAGAGTTGTCCTTTTACCACTATGTAATGTCCTTCTTTGTCTCTTTTGATTCTGTTGGTTTGAAGTTCATTTTATCAGAGACTAGGACTGCAACCCCTGCTTTTTTTTTGTTCTCCATTTGCTTGGTAAATCTTCTTTCATCCCTTTATTTTGAGTCTTTGTGTGTCTTTGTATGTGAGATGGGTTTCTTGAATACTGCACACTGATAGGTTCTGACTTTTTATCCAGTTTTCCAGTCTGTGTCTTTTGATTGGGGTGTTTAGACCATTTACATTCCATGTTTTTGTGTATATAAATATATATATATATATATTGAGATGAAGTTTCGCTCTTGTTACCTAGAATGGAGTGCAATGGCACGATCTCGGCTCACTGCAACCTCTGCCTTCTGGGTTCAAGCAATTCTCCTGCCTCAGCCTCCCAAGTAGCTGGGACTACAGGCGCACACCACCATGCCCAGCTAATTTTTGTATTTTTAGTAGAGACAGGGTTTCACCTTTTTGATCGATGGTCTCGATCTCTTGACCTCATGATCCACCCGCCTTGGCCTCCCAAACTGCTGGAATTATAGGCATGAGCCACCAGGCCTGGCCTCAATGTTAATATTTTTATGTGTGAATTTGATCCTGCCATTTTGTTACCGGCTGGTTTTCTCATTAGTTGACTCATTTTCTTCATTGCATTTTTGGTCTTTGCCAACTGGTTTGCTTTAGCAGTGACTGGTACTTGTTCCTCTCCATGCTTAGTGTTTCTTTCAGGAGCTCTTGTAGGGCGGATCTGGTGGTGACAAAATCTCTCAATAATTGCTTGTCCATAAAGGATTTTACTTTTCCTTCACTTATGAAGCTTAGTTTGGCTGGATATGAGATTCTGGGTTGAAAGTTCCTTTTTTTAAGAAGAATATTGGCCTCCACTCTCTTCTGGCTTGTAGAGTTGCTGTCAAGAGATCTGCTGTGAGTCTGATTGGCTTCTCTCTGTGGGTGACCTGACCTTTCTCTCTGGCAGCCCTTAGCATTTTTTCCTTCATTTTGACCCTGGTGAATCTGACGATTACATGCCTTGGGGTTGCTCTTCTTGAGAAATATCTTTGTAGAGTTCTCTGTATTTCTTGAATTTGAAATTTGGACTGCCTTGCTAGGCTTGGGAAGTTCTCCGGGATAATATCCTGGAGTGTGTTGTTTTCCAGCTTGGATTCATTCTCCCTGTCATATTCAGGTACACTGATCAAGAGTAGATTCAGTTTTTTCACATCATCCCGTATTTCTTGGAGGCTTTGTTCATTTCTTTTCACTCTTTTTTCTCTTGTATTGCCTTCTCTTTTTATTTCATTGAGTTAATCTTCAATCTCTGATATCCTTTCTTCTGCTTGATCAATTTGGCTATTAAAACTTGTGTTTGCTTCACGTAGTTCTCGTGCTGTGTTCTTCAACTCCATCAAGTCATTTATGTTCTTCTCTAAGCTGGTTATTCTAGATAGCATTTCGTCTAAACTTTTTTCAAGGTTTTTGCTTTCTTTGCATTGAGTTAGAATGTGTTCCTTTCTGAATCCTGTTTTCATCAATTCTTCACACTCCTTCTCAGTCAAGTTGTGATCCTGTGTTGTTGAGGAGTTGTGGTCCCTTGAAGGAGAAGAGGTTTTCTGGTCTGTGATGGTTTCACCTTTTTTGTTCTGGTTTCTTCCCATCTTTGTGGATTTACCTGGCTGTGGTGTCAGAGAGCTGCTTGATGAGGTCGCTTGTCTGCCTGTGGGGGCACTACTGGGTTTCTAGGGACTCCTTCAGGTTACTTGGGAAGCTTCCTGTGTCTTTTTTGTTTATGCTGGGAGATTAAGCCCACCTCTTCCGCTGACTTGTAGGTGCTGCTGGGTTGTCAAGAACACTGTCCTGTTGCTACCTAGGCTTCCTGTGTTTTTTGTTAAAACACGTAGCCTAGTCCCACCCCTCTAGTGGTGCGTTGTGCCTTTCCTCCACTGGGCTAGATCATTCAGGGTTCATCTCAGACTGTGGCACTGGCTACACAACCCACTAGAGTCAGAGCTTAATGGTAAAAGGATCAATCCAACAGGAAGAGCTAGCTATCCTAAATATATATGTCCCCAACACAGGAGCACCCAGATACATAAAGCAAGTTCTTATCAACCTAAAACGAGATTTAGACTCCCACACAATAATAGTGGGAGACTTCAATACTCCACTGTCAATATTAGACAGATCAACAAGACAGAAAATTAACAAGGACATCCAGGACTTGAATGCAGAGCTGGACCAAGCGGATCTAATAGACATATACAGAACGCTCCACCCCAAATCCACAGAATATACATTTTTCTCAGCACCACATTGTACTTACTCTAAAACTGACCATATCATTGGAAGCAAATCACTCCCCAGCAAATGCAAAAGAACAGAAATCATATAACAAACAATCTATGGGCCGGGTGCAGTGGCTCACGCCTGTAATCCCAGCACTTTGGGAGGCTGAGGAGGGTGGATCACGAGGTCAAGAGATCGAGACCATCCTGGTCAACATGGTGAAACCCCGTCTCTACTAAAAATACAAAAAAATTAGCTGGGCACAATGGCGTGTGCCTGTAATCCCAGCTACTCAGGAGGCTGAGGCAGGAGAATTGCCTGAACCCAGGAGGTGGAAGTTGCAGTGAGCCAAGATCGCGCCATTGCACTCCAGCCTAGGTAACAGGAGCAAAACTCCATCTCAAAAAAAAAAACCAAAAAAACAGTCTATCAGACCACAGCGCAATCAGACTAGAACTCAGGATCAAGAAACACCCTCAAACCCACACAACCACTTGGAAACTGAGCAACTTGCTTCTGAATGTTGACTGGATAAACAATGAAATGCAGGCAGAAATAAAGATGTTCTTTGAAGCCAAGCAGAATAAAGATACAACTTACCAGAATCTCTGGGACACCTTTAAAGCATAATAGAAAGGGAAATTTATAGCAATAAATGCCCACCAGAGAAGAGAGGAAAGATCTAAATTGACACCCTATCATCAAAATTGAAAGAAATAGCAGAGCAAGATCAAAAAAAAATCAAAAGCTAGTGGAAGACAAGAGATAACTAAGACCAGAGCAGAACTGGAGGAGATAGAAACACAAAAAGCCCTTCAAAAAAATCCATAAATCCAGGAGCTGGTTTTTTGAAAAGATCAACAAAATAGACAGACAACTAGCCAGATTAATAAAAAAGAAAAGGGAGAAGAATCAAATAGATGCAATAAAAAATGATAAAGTGGATATCACCACTGATCCCACAGAACTACACACTACCATCAGAGATTACTACAAATAGCTCTCCTCACATAAACCAGTAAACCAGGAAGAAGTGGATAAATTCCTAGACACTTGTACTCTACCAAAACTAAACCAGGAGGAAGCTGAAACCCTGAATAGACCAACAACAAGGGCTGAAGTAGAGGCAGGAATCAGTAGCCTACCAATCAAAAAAAGTCCAGGTCCTGATGGGTTCACAGCCAAATTCTACCAGTTGTACAAAGAGGAGCTGGTTCTATTCCTTCTGAAACGGTATCAAACAATACAAAAGGTGGGAATCCTCCCTAACTCATTTTATGAGACCAACATTATCCTGATACCAAAACCAGGCAGAAACTTAACTAAAAAAGAAAACTTTAAGCTGATATCAATAGTGAATATTGATGCAAAAATCTTCAAAAAAATACTGGCAAACAGACTGCAACAGCACATCAAGAAGCTTATCCATCACGACCAAGTAGGCTTCATCCTGGTGATGCAAGGCTGATTCAACATACGTAAATCCATAAATGTAATCCATCACATAAACGGAATCAAACACAAAAACCACATGATTATCTCAATAGATGCAGAGAAGGCCTTTGATAAAATTCAACAGCCTTCATGCTAAAAACTCTCAATAAACGAGGTATTGATGGAACGTATTATAAAATGATAAAAGCTATATATGACAAACCTACAGCCAATAACATACTGAACAGGCAAAAGCTGGAAGAATCCCTTTGAAATCAGGTACTAGACAAGGATGCCCTCTCTCACCACTCCTATTCAACATAGTATTGGAAGTTCTAGCCCGAGCAATCAGGCAAGAAAAAGAAATAAAGGGTATTCAATTAGGAAAGGAGGGAAGTCAAACTGTCTCTATTTGCAGATGACATATTGTATATCTAGAAGACCCCATCGTCTCAGCCCAAAATCTCCTGAAACTGATAAGCAACTTCAGCAAAGTCTCAGGATATAAAATCAATGTGCAAAAGTCACAAGCATTCCTACATACCAATAACAGACAAACAGAGAGCCAAGTCAAGAGTTGTCTGAACACCCATTCACAATTGCTACAAGGAGAATAAAATACCTAGGAATACAATTAACAAAGGATATAAAGGACCTCTTCAAGGAGAACTACAAACCACTGCTCAACAGAGGACACAAACAGATGGAGAAACATTCCATTCTCATGGTTAGGAAGAATCAATATCGTGAAAATGGCCATATTGTGCAAAGTAATCTGTAGATCAAATGCTATCCCCATCAAGCTACCAATGACCTTCTTCACAGAACTGGAAAAAAACCACTTTAAACTTCATATGGAATCACAAGAGATCCCACATAGCCAAGACAATCCCGACCAAAAAGAACAAAGCTGGAGGCACACACTGCCAGACTTCAAACTATACTACAAGGCTACAGTAGTCAAAACAGCATGGTACTGATACCAAAACAGAGACATAGACCAATGGAACAAAACAGAGACCCCAGAAGAAACACCATGCATCTACAACCATCTGATCTTTGACAAACCCAGCAAAAACAAGCAATGAGGAAAGGACTCCATGTTTAATAAATGGTGTTGGAAAAACTGGCTAGCAATGTGCAGAAAGCAGAAACTGGACCCCTACCTGTCACCTTATAGTAAAATTAACTCCAGATGGATCAAAGATTTAAACATAAAACCTAACACTGTAAAAACACTAGAAGAAAACGTAGGCAAAACCATCCAGAACATAGGCATAGGCAAAGACTTCATGACTAAAACACCAAAAGCAATGGCAATAAAAGCCAGGATAGACAAATGGGATCTAATTAAACTCCAGAGCTTCTGCACAGCAAAAGAAACTATCATTAGAGTGAATCAGCAACCAACAGAATGGGAAAAAATTTTTGCAATCCACCCATCTGACAAAGGGCTAATATCCAGAATCTACAAAGAACTAAAACAGATAAACAAGAAAAAAACAAACAACCCCACTCAAAAGTGGGCAAAGAATATGAACAGACACTTTTCAAAAGAGGACATATATGAGGCCAACAAACATGAAAAAATGCTCATCATCACTGGTCATTAGAGAAATGCAATTCAAAACCACACTAAGATATCATCTCACGCCAGTTAGAATGGTGATCATTAAAAAATTGGGAGACAACAGATGCTGGAGAGGATATGGAGAGATAGGAACACTCTTACACAGTTGGTGGGAATGTAAATTAATTCAACCATTGTGGAAAACAGTGTGGCGATTTCTCAAGGATCTAGAAATAGAAATTCCATGTGACCCAACAATCCCACTATTGAGTATATACCCAAAGAACTATAAATAGTTCTACTATAAAGACACATGCACACATATGTTCATTGCAGCCCTGTGTACAATAGCAAAGACCTGGAACCAACCCAAATGCCCATCAATGATAGACTGGACAAAGAAAATGTGGTACATATACACCACAGAATATTAGACAGCCATAAAAAACGATGAGTTCATGTCCTTTGTAGGGACTTGGATGAATCTGGAAGCCATCATTCTCAGCAAACTAACCCAAGAACAGAAAGCTGAGCACTGTATGTTCTCACTCATAGGTGGGTGTTGAACAACGAGACCACGTGAACTCAGGGAGAGAAGCATCATACATGGGACAGTTGCGGGGGGGTTGGGGAGAGAGAATGGGGGGTGGAGAGGGAGGGGAGGGATAACATGGAGAGAGATGCCATATATAGTATGCACCTAAAGTAAAATAAATAAATTATAAAAAAAAGAAAAAAGAAATAGAGTTGTCAATTCCAACCAAAATAGACTTAACTCTTACAGATAAGAAGGAGGGCTTGGTAGCATTCCGAAGTGGGCCGGCCAGGGTCCTGCAGATACCGTGAGTAAGACATTCACAGGACACTCTTTCAAAAAAATAATCCAGAAATTCCAACTGCAGCCCATGAGCTGACTCTAGCACAAAGGTGGGCGCTTTTTTAATTTTTATTTTTGGCTGACACAATTTTAAAATATTTAAACAGAAATGTCTTTACTAAAAAAGTAAATGGCATTTGCTCCAGTTTTTCAGAGACTCAGTCATGCCCTATTACCTTACATCTAGCTTTACTTAATTATGATACATGCCTGATCTCTAAAGGATGTGACTATTATATCCTTTAAATATTCAACACTTATTTAGAATAGAGGCTGAAGGCTTCTATTCTAGAAGGACTGGAGAAGGAAGGTCCTCTGGTAGCGGTGTCCACCTTTTCTCTACTACCTAGAGCAATCTGGCTCTTCTCTAACTCCTAAATACTTCATGCAGCAAAACAAAAACTGTGCAATTACTCAAATTACAGTGGCAGTCCTTGGGATTCCTGGGCTCTTCATCACTCCAATCTCTGTCTCTGCCTTCACAGCACATTTTCCCTGTTGTCTCTGTATTCTTATAAGGACACCAGTCATATTGCATAAGAGGCCCACCCTACTCTAGCATGATGTCATCTTGACTAATTCCATCTGCAGTGTACACCCATCGGGGGTGGGGGTTTTATAACCATTTATTGTCACTCTAGAATGCTTTAGAAAGTCTCTCTCACCAGTCACTACCATCTATCCACCCAAGTAGCTTATGATAACATTTCTTTCAATATCATATAGTAGTCTCCCCTGAGAAGAATTCCAGTAAGTATATTACCTTCAACTTGCTAGCTCCCAGGGACATTTTAGCTCCCAGGTACAAGAGACTGGTACCCCCAGGCCATCTGGCTCTGTCCTGACTTTTCTAACTGCAGTGGGTCAGTTTTTGAGGAGGAAATAATGAGTATAATGAATGCATGTAGGATTTGTGTCACCAGTGACCCAACCAGCTGGACCATTCAGAGCAGAATAGCCACATCATATGTCCCAAAGATGGACTGTCAGATCAAGTGGACTTAATTGAGTCTTGCTTAATGTGCTGGATTTGGATACATGCACATGAAGAGAGAGCATTCCAAGCCTGATGAGAAGCACAGGCAAATGCACTTCTAGCACTAGAGAGTGACGGAGATGTTTCACATCTGTATGAGATCATGCAATGACTCACGACTCATCTAAACACTAATTCTTCTAACCCTTTTTAATGACTCTCCGTAGAATCCTCTGTGTTTAGAAATCTTAGAGTTCTCTGTAGCAAATACATTCCATTTTAAAATCAGTGAAAACCTGCAGGATCAACACAGCCACTAGTAGCTGCTGCTCATTTGGCTTGTAAAGAACAACTTTTACTGGGTAATAGCAAAAATAAAACAAAAAAACAAAAAACAAAAAACAACAACCCACAAAACAAACACAAAAAGCATACTTGACTAATTAAATGCATTGGCACTGCATTTTGTATCTGGCAATTTGAAAAAGCTGTAATGAGCATTCATTGTAAGGACAAAAAAGTAATTTTTACCTACTTCTTTCACTTAATCTTTCCCAACTACTCTCCGGGGTAAAAGAACTCTCCTTGTCACCTCAGTTCATATAAACACACATGAACAACACACAGTAGGTTCTAGACGTGTAGTTTCTTAATTGGTTTTGAATTCCATATAATCCCAAAAAGCAGATTTCTCAATTTAAAATACAGACATGACTGTGTATTTATAGTGCTGAAAACTTAAATAGAACTTTAATATCCAAAAACAAAGAAAAGTTTAAGTAAAATATAATGTGTCCATATGATGTGCTATGCAATCATTAAACATGATTTTTACATTTTAAATAAGAGAAAATTTTTGTTAAATTTGAGGCAGAAGAAATCTCTGTGATGCAAGTTGTTATACAGCATGTCACAACCAGCTAAGTCTATATTGTAAAAAGACTTGCAGGAATATACTAAAATGTTCAGTGTTTTCTCTGGGTGGGGAACATGGAGGAAATGTTTTTAAAAACATTTTTAAAACATTTTTTACAACTTTCCCATTTCTGGCATCATAAATATGCTATATTTATAATGAATAAAAAATAATTCAGAAGTATCTTTTGTGCAATACTGAAGATTTCTCCCACGCCCAGGCCTCTCAAAGGGACATGTCCTAACTTTCACCCTTGAAGTACAGATAAATGGGGGAAAAATTGTTCCAAATATATTGATATCATTAGAAAATGCTTATCTTGTGTAGCAGAACCAAAGGAAATGTGTAAATATTGAATACTCTAAGGATATGCATAAATACAATTCTTCCTCCTAAACTTTTAAGCAAGGACTAATAGCTATATAAAGTTGGCTTCTTGGAATACAATTTAAGGGTGACACAGAAGTTCCAGTAATTTCCAAAATTAATAGGTATTATCATCAGTATGTCAGACAGACATCCTCCCTGATATGGTTTGTGTCCCCACCCAAATTTCCTCTTGAGTTGTAGCTCCTGTAATCCCCACATACTGTGGAAGGGAACTGGTGGGAGGTAACTGAATCATGGGGGCAGGTTTTCTTGTGCTGTTCTCATGATAGTTAATGAGTCTCATGAGATCTGATGGTTTTATAAAGGGTGGTTCCCCTGAACACACTCTTTTGCCTGCCACCATGTAAGACTTGACTTTGCTCCTCCTTCGCCTTCTGCCATGACTGTGAGGTCTCCCTAGCTATGTGGAACTGTGAGTCCATTAAGCCTCTTTTTCTTTATGAATTACCCAGTCTTAGTTATTTCTTCATAGCAGCATGAAAATGAACTAATACACTCCCCTTCCAAAAAAAATGGAATGAAAAGTCTCTATCAATTATTAGAAGTACTTAAGGAAGAGTATCTTCAGCCTCATATAGAGTCTATGAAATATTACAACAATCAAACAATATTAATATTGTTTGAAGCTAAAACAGGTTATTGAAATCTTCCATTGGTGTTTCTTATGTTTACTGCTATTCATGAAATTCAACTGGATAAGGCTTTTCTTCACCAGTCTCACTGTGTAACAGAATGAAAAAGCTAAAAAAATGACATGCAAATATTTCTTCTATACATAGAAAAAAGTATTATCTAAATCAAATATGGAATCATCATGAGAATACTTAGAAGTAATGTATTATAGTTGATAAAAATAATAACAATGAAGTTTTAAAGGCAATAATACCCATTGTATTGTTTACACTGTAAAAATACGATCTGTGTGTAGATTAATATTTTCCACAAAAGTATCTGTAAAACATTACTAAGATTGTTAGATATGGTCTGGAGAGCAGAGAAAGCAAATCTGGACATGTTAATATTTATCAAGAAGTTCCAAAAATTGTGAACTGACTTTCTCATAAAACAGTATTTGAATCAAGGTTTATGCAAATGCTTCATTTTTTTAAGCACAAAATTATCTCATCATGATTGGCAAATCATGAAAAAACGAAAGCAAACCCAGTAGAATAGGTTCTAAACGCCCAATTGAGTATTATAGGTATTTATTTTTTAAAAACTGACCACAGGAAAAAAAAATTTTAAATGGCTTATGAAAATACTATTTCATTTTGTAACAGTGGGGTTGGGAGTCTTAATAATGTTCTAACATGTAAAGTAGGAAGGGTATATCAAATTCTGCAAATATCACATTAACTCATAAAACGTTAATTCCTATTAAGGTAGATAGGTCTTCAATAGATCTACTCTTTTTTTTTTTTTTTTGCAATTTTATAACGATGTACCAAGTACACACAATTAAAAAAAGTAAACCATACTTTTATATTAAGATATGACCCCAAATTCATCAATAATACATCGTTTTAATGCTAGCAGAATCTTCTTATGACATCAATTCTATTAGAATAATTATAATGCCAATTTAAAAACTTTAGTGGGTCTCTTCATTTTAGTTTACAGCTTGATTGGGTACATTCAGTAAAACATCCATGGCTTGCTACTCTCTACCTCCAGCACTATGCTTTTCCCCGCCAGCCCTCCCTCCGCATCCCCTGACTCAGAGGCTATTTGGAGAGGACACCTGTTTTAAATGGATCCACAGGAAATACCTATGTTGCCTTTTCATAGTCTGACCCTGCATCTGGTTGGCTGAAATGTGATCATGATTAAAAAAAAAATGTTGCCCACAAACTGATGCAACTTCAGTGTGACAACATTTACTGGAAGGCAGGAGGGAATCCAGTTTATATTTACTTTCCTTCCATTAGTGTAGTGTAGGAAAAAAGTAAGTAAAAGGGCAAAACCAGTTTAACACCCAAAAGATTAGTATTAAATTACACACACATGGGTTTTACATCCAAACTTAGAGTGATTTTTTTTTAAGCTGAATGCAATCCTGTGGCAGAAAATTATTTGACACTCCTTTCTGTATAGCTTTCTATTTATTAACCACTTGTCCAAAGTTCATATTCTAGCTGATGTTATTATATATTGATATGACTTTAATCAATCTCTCGTGGAATTTAGTTTCCTCGTGACTGACAGTCTCCTGTCAACACTGAAAACTTTATTGGTCCAAAATAGTGAAAGTCACTCGCGGCTGCCTGTGCTCGGGTTTACACCCCACGTTCACACGCCCACCCGATACCTTCGCACGAAGCACCTGCTCTTGGCCAACTGCAACTACTCCAGGAAGAGTCGCCGCGATTCCTGGGTGGCGGAATCATTTGCGGGCACTGAGGTCCCCTCCTTCAGTGCAGGTTCCCCGCCCCCTCGCCCGGCCAGGCGCCCACTCGCCCCAGACCCCGCTTTCCCCTGGAGCTCAGAGCGCATTTCCCGAACCCCCGTCGCACCCAGAGGTCGCACCCACTCCTAGGACGCCTAGGGGGCGCCCCCCGGCCGGGTGTCCCGGGACCCTGCGAACGCAGGACCATAATGACGAAGGTGACGAAAGAGATGACGCCACGCCCCCTGCCAGGCCGCGGCCGGCCGTGGGGAGCGTCCGCAAACCGCACCACGCCCCTACGGGTCGCCCGCGTGCTCGCGGCCGCGCCGGTCCCCGGGGGCGCGCGCCCCGCCCCACCCCGCGCCCGCGCCCGCGCCCGGGTTCCCACGGCGTCCGCCCCCGCGCGCCCGGCGCCTCCCGCCCGCCCTCGTCGCCGCCCAGCCCGCCCAGGCCTCTCGCGAACATGGCGCTTGTCCCCTGCCAGGTGCTGCGGGTGGCAATCCTGCTCTCCTACTGCTCTATCCTGTGCAACTACAAGGCCATCGAAATGCCCTCGCACCAGACCTACGGAGGGAGCTGGAAATTCCTGACGTTCATTGATCTGGTAAGGCCGTCCCATCCCCCTGCCCGCCCCGCACCCGTGCCTGTGTGTGTTTGTGGGTGTGCGAGCACCTGCGCGCGTGCGCGCCTCCAGCATCCACCCGTGTCCTCGCCTCTACCCCAATTATGACGCAGCAGCACCTTCTGAACCACCCACTTTTACCTGGTAGCTGGGGGACGAATGGAGGTGGGGCGCAGCCAGGTGGTGGGCTATTTGGAGGGGGACACAGAATTGCTTGTAAGAGGTGACACGGGAAGAATCTTCAACTAACAAAAGCATCGGACCTGATCATGACTGGCCTGAGACCCATTCGCTCTCAAGGTGCTTTCCAGGGCACCCGCCGTGGGATGAAACTTGCCGCAACTGAAGGAAATTGGGTATTGTCTAGTGATTTGGAACTTCACCTGAAAGAACCAAAACCTTCTCATAAGGGAGAGAAAGCACCTAATAAAGTTGTTTTCTTTGCATCTGTTCTTTTTTTTTTTTTTTTTTTTGGCCCATTGTCAATAATTTATTTCCAACCTTTACCCTGTAAATACTAGGAAACAGAGATGATGTTCAAAGTGCATTTCCAAAGTGACTGTACACTCTTCTCTGTCTCCCCATGTACAAGTTTACAGTAGTTTGCATAAGCAGCTCCTCTGTTGGCACAAAAGACAGTCTTGACAGGTGCAGGTTATTATTAGCATCATCATTTTGAAAGTTTTTCTATGGGACTAAAAGGCTCTCTCCAACCCCCCTGGAGAATCAGAACATGGGCATAAGGCCCAATAATGAACTCATGGATGGGCCTAGGAATTTCAGGGTAGAGATGACTAAGACACACACAGATTATCAGGAAGAGAGTTAAAACAAAAGCAATGAAATTCTAAAGCACTCAGAGAAATTGTAGAACCAATTTCTGGGACTTCCAGAATGGTTTGTCCAAAACTATATACTAGGTTGGCTACACCAGCAAGATTATAATCTTTTTTGTTAACTCTCCATTCTGATGAAGAGAACCTGATACATGTTTTGAGAATTTCCTAAGGCTTAGGATGCCTCAAAGAAATGCAGTCAGAGGATTTTGGTTTAAAAATAACACCTTATATTTGCTTTATATTAGATACTTTCAGAGTGGAATTTCAATTCTTTTGCCCAGCAGTTTCCAAACTGTGCACATACCCTTAGTCCCACAAGGCTTCACAGGGCATAGAATGTTGCAAGGGTTTCGATTTTCAGATCCTCATCTTCCAACTCTTCTTGAAACTAATCTCCCTCTGAACATGCATGATGCCTGCCAGTCCTTTCGTTCTCCCCATTCATCCAAGTGAGGAGCACACAACAAGACTCTGAGGTGTGTTTTTCTGTCTGCTCCTTTTAGTATCCAGAAGATAGATGGCTGTCACCAGGACCGTCTTCCCATTTGATTGAACAACAGTGTTGGAGTTGTCTTGACAGAAAGCCTTATTGGGTTGATTGGCTTGTCAATGAAGATTGGCTTTGTCAATTATGTTATGTAGCAGACATTTTCCATCTATTGAATGAGCTAAATCTGCAGCCCTGAGGTTCTCATACATATGTATATGAAGCAAGCATTATCACCCACAGAGTGCCAGAAAGCATGTCCCTTTTTCAAGTGTTTACACTTAACTATGTTAAGGATGTTGGGATGTAATTTAAAAATGTGTGCATAGATTTTCAGAATTCTTTGAGGGGCTGTGTGAACAAAACTCCTTTTGGGACACTGCCTTATCCCATTTCTAAGTCAGATCTTACTTAGAGCTGACCCATTTGAATGTTGCTAAGAAGCAATACTGGGCCAAAATACAAACTACAGAGATGCTATCAGAGCCATAGGTACTAGAAACAGCCCTTAGCATCACTCTTGCAGTAGACGCTGTGTTGTGGGAGCAAGGGCAGGGGTCAGCAGGTGAATAGAGGTCGAAATTGAGGGTGTTGGTTAACCTGAGAGATGCCGGCTTCTCATAATTGGTATTTCTTACTGTGCATTAAAAAACAAGGCTCAGAAGAAACCTCTCATAATCTTTGTGTGACATCAAACCATAATAGCGTCGTCAGCTTGATATGCTGCCATACAATTTATCTTTTAGCATTCAATGATTGGACTTGCCTGTTTTAAATACCAATCACCATAAAGGACTTTTTTCTATCCCAGAAGTCAGGCAGTAGATTCAAATGTGAAACATTTACTTTGCTTCATATTTAGTTTCGGATTGCACAGGACCTTTAGCCAGCCATTTTAATGTTTTGCTCTTTGGCTCCTGATTGAAATATAATAAATATATTTAACCAAGAGTTCCTGTGAGAAAGTATGTCTAACATATTTTCATAAAAACATTCATGCAAAGTGTTATTCTTATTGTTTGAGATTTAGAATCTTTAGAGCTTAAGCACTGTACAGCTGTTAAAACAACCGTCCTGTCAATCCTCAGTAATGGCGTGAAAAGATTAGGCTACTATAATTTAGCCATTTTACTTTTCACTTTTAATGTTAAAAAGACCGTAAACTTTATTACCCAGTGCCTTGTACAATATTAATGGGTCTAAGTTTATTGGAACAATTTTGCAAGAGGGTTTAGCTTTTTAAAAATTTAATGAGAAGGCCTTTTTTCTTGCCAACTTGGAATGCAGGAGTCATTTATCCTGATGGCCACAGTTGGATTCCATGTTCCATGGCATCAGTTTACCAGGATGTGAGTCAGGAATCTCAGGCTACATGTATCCAGGAGCAGATGGTTATGTGGCAGTGGCCATTCTGGCTGTATTCATATCTCTCTTTGGGTATGAGGAACATTCCAACGGATTCAGAGCTCATGTTCAAAAACTGAAATGCACATTGTTGCTACCAGTAATCTTATACTATTATTTTCCGATGGTTTCTTTTACTAGTATTGAGAAACTGTAAGAGAACTAAGGTGCTTTTGGAAATTTGAAGTTAGTAAATGGAAAAAGAACACTATCTTGGTGTAGTAGGTAGAATAATGGGCCTCCAAAGATGTTTACATCTTCATGCCAGGAACCCATGAATACATTAGGTTACATGGCAAAGAGAATTAAGGTTGCAGATGGAATTAAGGTTGCAAATCAACTGACCTTATAGTAGGAAAATTATCCTGGGTTATCCCATTGGGCCCACTATAATTACAAGGGACCTTAAAAGGAATAGAGAAACAGAAGACAAGAGACCATTGGAGGAAGACGTGACTGGAAGAAAGTCACAGAGAGATGCAACAACGCTGGCCTTGAAGATGGAGGATGAAGCCGGGAGCCAAGGGGTGTGAAAGGTGTCTAGAAGCTGGAAAGGACAAGAAATGGCTTTCCTCTTGAGTTTTCCGGAACACATACCTGCTGACAGCTTGATTTTAGCCTAGTTTGGACTTCTGATCTTCAAAATCGTAAAATAATAAATTTGTGTCCTTTAAGCCATTTGATTGATAGTAATTGGTTACCACAGTAATGGAAGACTAGTATACTTGGCTTTAAAGCCCCTGACGTAGAAAAAAACTTAACTGTTTTTGTACTTACATGAAATAAATGCAGTGACTCAGCTAGTCCTTTATGTATAGTAGAAAACTGGTTAATTTTAGCTTTAACAACACAGGTTTTTTCCTACTTCATCCATGAAATTATGTGGAGGAGACATACATACGTTTAACAGTGGGCAATATGAGAATCTATGAAGACTGGACAACATTGGAAAAACTAGGTCTTACTGTGAAGTATTTCAGAGACTATCATTATGTAGCATGTCAGGCCAGGAAAAGGAATATACTTAACTGGAAATAAACTGGAAAGAAAGAAAATTTAAACTAGCTATTGCTAAATATTAACATTTTTTTAGTCAATGTCACAGCTGATGAATTTTCTTCAAGTGATGTGGATTCATTGATTCATTCACTAGCAAAATGATTATGCTTCATGTTACATGATAATTGCCCCCAAAGATAATAAAGAAGAATCAGGATAAAACCACCATAAATAAATGAAAAGAAAAAGGCAAATGTATTTTAAGGTCTTAGTGGTTGGGGTATAATAGGTGGTTAGTAAATGTTTAAATAAATAGAAGCTTTCTCTTCCCAAATTTTCATTGAGTATTCTTTTCTTGCCCTGTCTCCTCCCAAAACGTTCAAAACAATAGGAATTTAAAAATGTATCAACCAGAACATTATTCAGTTGTGTGTGGTAGAGTGTCTAACAGATGAGTCAGAATCAAATTCTTTGAAAACCATGAACTGCATTTTTTAGAAGAGATAAAATATTGATGACGGATTTAAGGCATCTTAGTTTTTAAAGATTGAAACAGATCTGGCAGTTGAGTTGACTCTAGTTTGTAGTATTGGCCATTTTGAGTCATCATCTCTTAGGACCATATCAGACCCATTATTTCTCCTGGACTGGCTTTTCATTCATGTCATGGCAGAATAATGTTCAGGCCCTGCCTACTCAGAGTGGGCGGACGATGAACAGGATCAGCTTTGCTGGGAGCCTGTTAAAAATGTGGCATTTCCACCTCCACCCCAGAGCTCTGAATCAAGAGTCTGCATTTTAATAAGATCATCAGGTGATTTCTATGCACATTCAAAGTTGATAAATGCTGCTCTAAGCCACATTGTTTTTGTTTTTTAATTTACGTGGATTAAGTATAGGAGTCTGTAGAGCAGTCTTAATATACTAATTCTGCCTATTTTCTTTGTTGTTTTTGTTTTGTTTTGTTTTGAGACAGAGTTTCACTCTGGAGTGCAGTGGCATGATCTTGGCTCACTTCAACCTCTGCCTCCCAGGTTCAAGAAATTCTCCTGCCTCAGCCTCCCAAGTAGCTGGGATTACAGGGGCCTGCCACCACACCTGGCTAATTTTTGTATTTTTACTAGAGACAGGGTTTTACTATGTTGGCTAGGCTGGTCTCAAACTCCTGATCTCAACCTCCCAAAGTGTTGGGATTACGGGAGTGAGCCACTATACCTGGCCTGAATTCTGCCTATTTTCAAAACATATTGCAGACTGGCTTTCACTGTGATATAACAAAAAAAATAAAATAAAATAAAAAATTATAATTAGAAAATAAAGAGAAAGACAATGTTTCAGGTACCAGAGATGGGTTAGTTACTGCTATTGAGAAACAAATTTGAATACTCTTCAGGGCAACTAAGGTGAAAAACAATACACATTTGATTACATTGCCCCTATATTGGAATAAAGGAAGTATAACAGTTTATCGGGAAAAATACAGTTCTTGCCAGGCACTGACTTTTCAAGGTAATTTATCACTCAGAAATTTATTTAAAGAACATTAAGGGTAGGTATGGTGGCTCACACCTTTAATCCTAGCCACATGGTGGGAGACCATGGCAAGAGGCTTGCTTAAGCCCAGGAGTTTGAGACCAGCCTGGGCAACATAGCAAGACTCCCACTACAAAAAATTAGTTGAGGGTGGTGGCATGTGCCTATAGTCCCAGCTGTGTCGGGGGGCTGTGGCAGGAGGATGACTTGAGCCCAGGAGTTTGAGTTTTCAGTGAGATATGATGGTGCCTCTGCACTCCAGCATAAGTGGCAGAATCAGATCCTATCGGTAAATAAATATAAAAAAGAACCTTTATTAGCATAGTGGATAATGCCTTTTGTTGATTTTTAGCATAATATAACGAAATATTCTTATGGTTAATGTTTCTTATTTGATGGTTTTATGAAGGCCAAAGGCATGGTCTTATATTTTGGCTAGAGTGAAAGCATTTTTGTACAAGTTTAAGGTAATATAATCTAGGTACTTTGTTTGTTATCTAAATCTGTATTGCAAAAGAATTTCAGAAAACCACAGAGAGAGCAGGATAAATAAAGTCTTAGATGTGAAAAAGCTTGGGGTGCTCAAATAACAGGAAATTATCAAGTGTACCTGGAGGATACTATTTTTGCTTTTAGACATGCTGAGAATCTTTGACATTTAAAAAATGTTAAAGAGGGAAAACAAGCTGCCTAAGTATACCACATTTTGAATTCGAATTAGTCTTATATTTATTTACATGCTTATCATAAAATATATTCTTGACTCTATTTCATGACTTAGTTTTAACTAGGAAATAAAATATTTTGAGAAGAGATTCTGCATGTTATTATATAACTGTGGTACTTAGTTTTGCCAGTCAAAACCACACAGTGCCACATGAAGGTCAGTAGTTTATTGAGTAATCAGGGAACAAAATTAGGTGGGCTTTTTCTGTGTTTTGTTTCCTTGGAGTTTTGGATATTATACAGAGAATGTGAAATTGCTAATTTTTTCTTCAGGAGACTCAGACTTGACCCTAAAGTATGCACATAAACTTGAAGGATCAAATAATATTTTTTTCCTAACCTGGAGAGAGAATTGTGAGAATAATGCTTTGCATAGACTCTTCTTCACCTTCTTTGCATGTTTTTTTTGGATCAGGCATAAAATAGGAGCCTGGTTTTGTTAGAGTGGGGGAAATAGTTGATGATATAGTCACCCATTCCCTCTTAGTTGCAAATGGTATTGAAATTACAGAAAGTCATCTGACCATAGTTGAGGTCACTTCTTTTCCCATTCCTGCCATTCCCCCATGTCTGGTGTAACATTTAGCAAAATTGTTAACTGCTCTTGAGGGTTTTCATTTGTTTCTCTGTGTTCCTCTGAAATGTCACATGTTTCTGTGGAAGCGTGAACAATAGTACAATTTTCCACATTGAATCAGATGTTCATGTGATCCAAGCATGCTTGGAAAAATCTTACTGCTTAGGATTCCATACAACATAGCTTTCTTATGCAGTCTGTAGCTAGACAGTTAAAGGGCCCGTGTCTCACCTGTAGGTAGTCCTTCTGAGTGCAGTGATACCAGAGCTTCTCTTTGAAAGTGAGACACCCCTTGATCAGATTCATTGTGGAATTGAACAAGATATGAGATCGAAGCATGGAATTCTGAAAAGTCAGACAATGCACTAGCCCATTCACACTGACTTATATTTAGGTCTGTCGGGGTTTTGAAATTAATTTTTTTTATTAATTTCAAAAGTGACACATACTTATTGTAGAAAATCTGTACAACTACAGGCAACAATAGAAATACAGGGAAGAAAATAGAGTCCGTCTTAATTCTCCCTAATTTTCCTTGCATCTTAGTGTTTCAGTGCTTCAAGATGGTATTTATTTGGGAACTTTATGTACATACAGAAACGTAATAGAAAGTCAGATTACCGTGTATATGTGTATGTGTGTTTGTACATATGTAGTCAGATATTAAAAAATCATATTCTTTAAAACTTATTTTCAAATTACAGATATCATTCAGAGATACCAGTATTAGTATTTTGGTATTTTTCTTTTCAGTCATATATATACTTCTGTTAAAAAAAAAATTCAACATAAACATGGTTTTTATAAATTTTTTATCCATGTATCCATGTACACTAAAATTTATTCCTTTTTTTTTTTTTGAGATGGAGTCTCATTCTGTTGTCCAGGATGGAGTTCAGTGGCGCTATCTTGTCTCACTGTAACTTCCACCTCCCAGGTTCAAGTGATTATTCTGCCTCAGCCTCCCAAGTAGCTGGGAATACAGGTGCATGCCACCACTCCTGGCTATGTTTTTTTTTTTTTTAATTTTAAGTACAGATGGGGTTTTGTCATTTTGCCCAGGCAGGACTCGAATTCCTGGGCTCAAAGGATTCACCCGCCTTGGTATCCCAAGGTATTGAGATTGCAGGCATGAGCCACCATGCCCGGCCAATTTTTTCTTTTTGGTATACTGTTCTGTAAGTTTTGATAGATGCATAGAATGGTGTAAATACCACCACAGTCACCTAAAAGCATTCCTTTGTCTTCCCTATTTATGCTAGAACCCTCCCCTGAATCTTATCAACCATAGATTTGTTCTCCATTCATATACTTTTGTATTTCCTAGAAAAATATATAAAGCATACAGTATGTCTTTCAGTCTGGCTTTTCATTTAGCAGAAAGCAATTCAGAGTTACCTATGTTGTTGTGTGTATCAGTAATTTATTCCATTTTACCAGTGAGTAGTGTTCCATGGTATTGATGTACCAGTTTTATTTATCTGTTCACAAGTTCAAGTACATTAGAGGCTTTTTTCAGTTTGGGGTGATTATGAGAAAAGCTGCTATAAAGATTTGGATACACGTTTTTGTATCAACATCAGTTTTCATTTTTTACTGGGCATATGCCTAGGAGTGGGACTGCTTGGTCATATGGGAGGTATATGTTTTACTGTATAAGAGACCCCCACAGTTTCCTCGAGTGGATGTACCATGTTGCATTACCAACAGCCATGTGTGGGAGCTCCACAGATGGGAACTCACATTGTGACCTTAGAGAGTGGTGTCAATTTTTCTTTTATTTCAGCTATTCTAATAGGTGTGTAGCAGTATCTCATTGTGGTTTTTGCGTTCCCCTCATGACTAAAGATGTTAAGTATCTTTTCCTGTGCCTTTTAATAATATATTTATGTTCTTTGTGAAGTTTGCACATTTAAAAAATACTGGGTTGTTTTATTATTCTTAAGCTTTGACAGGTTTTATGTATGCCAGATAAAAGCTCTTTGGCAAATATGTGATTTGCAAATGTTTTCTCCCTGTGTTTAGTTTATTTTGTTGGTAGTGTCTTTTACAGAGCAAAAGTTCATTTTGATGATACCAAATTTACCATTTTTATTCTTTTTATGGAACCTCCTAGAAATTTTATAGATTTAGGTTTTATGTTTTTGTCGATAATCCTTTTTTTTTTTTTGGTATATGTTGTGTAATTTTCTCTGCACCATGTCCTGAAAGATTGTCATTTTGCCATTGAATTACCTTTGCACCTTTGACAGAAATCAATTGACTACATTTGTGTGTCCGTTTCTGGATCCTTTTCAGCTCCACTGATGTGTGTGTCTCTTCACAGGTACCACACTCTGTTGATTGCAGCTTTATAGTAAGTCTTTAAAGTAGGTAGTGAGAATCATCCAACTTTGTTCTCTCTCAAAATTTGTTTATGCTATTCTAATTACTTTTCCTTTCTGTTTAAATGTAGGATAATCTTGTTAATATCTACAGATAATTTTACTTGGAGTTTTGAGTAGGATTTCATTGACTCTATAACAGCAATTTGGGGAAAGTTGAACATCTTAACAGTATTTACTTTTCCAACTCATGATGAACATGACATATCTCTTCATTTATTTAGATTTTTTATTTCTTTCATTGGTGTTTTGTAGTTTTCAGACATAGTTTGTGCTTGCATTTTGTTAGGTTTATATCTATTTTATTTTTGATTATTGTGAATGGTACTTCTAAAATTTATTTAATTTTTTTTCATTTTCTTCATCCATTTTGTGTTGCTATCACAGAATATCACAGACTGGGTAATTTATTAAGAAGAGAAACTTATGTCTTACAGTTCTGGAGGCTTAGAAGTACAAAAGCATGGTGCTGGTATCTGGTGAGGGCCTTCTTGTTGCACCATACCATGGCAGAAGGCATCACAGGGCAAGAGTAGCATGTGAGAGAGAGCCAAATTAGCTTTTCTGACAGACCCACTCTTGTGATAACTAACTCTTTCCTATGATAATCTATTAATCTGTGAACACGTTAATCCGTTAATAGCAAAACCCTCATGACTCAATCACCGCTTAAAATGCCCTACTCCTTAGTACTGTTACATTGGGGATTAAGCTTCCACATGAGTTTTAGAGACAACAACCATTAAATGGCATCAACCTTTTTATATTTAATTGACATTTTAATTGAGATAATTGTAGATTCACTTCAGTTGTAAGAAATACAGAGAAATACTGTGTAGGCTTTACCTACTTTCTCCCAGTGGTTACATCTTGCAAAACTGTATTATAATATCAAAACCAAGATATTGATATTGAAAGAGTAAAGATAGAAAACCTTTCCATTATCACAAAGATACCTCATGTAGCCTTCTATGACCACAACTACCTTCTCCTTTTGCCCCATCCCTAACCTCTGGTAGCCATTAATTTGTTCTTTCCATGATTTTTGTCATTTCAAGAATATTATGTATCCATAACCATACATATGTGACTTCTGGGGATTGCTATTTTAAAAAATCAGAATAATTCCCTAGAGAGTCACCCAAAGTGTCACATGTATAAGTAGTTTGTTCCTTTTCATTGCTGGTAGTATTTGTTTGTATGCATACACCACAGTTTAGCCATTTATCCATTAAGGGATATTTGGATTGTTTTTATGTCTTGTTTGGACAAATGTCTATTCAAGTCCTTTGCCTGTTTTTAATTGGATCATTTGTCTTTCTATGACTGAGTTGTATCAGTTCTTTATAAATTTTAGATATTAAACCCTTATCAAATATTGGTATGCAAATATTTTTTACCAATTTGTAGGTTGCCGTTTCATTTTATTGTTTGCTACTTTTGCTGTGCAAAAGACTTCATTTGATGTAGTCTTATTTATTTGCTTTTGCTTTTGTGGCCTGAGCTTTTGGTATGGTATCTAAATAAATAAATAAATAACTGCCAAGACCATTTTCTGGGACTATTCCCCTGTATTCTAGGAGTTTTATAGTTTCTGGCATTACATTTATGTTGATTTTACATTTTGTGTAGAATTTTGTGTATGATGTAAGAAAAGAGTCTAATTTTATTCATTTGCCTGTGAAAATATAGTTTTTCCAGCACCATTTATTGAAAAGATTATTCTTTCCTCCTTGTGTTCTTTTGGTGGCTTGGTCAAAAATTAGCAAATTATATATCTTTGAATTTATTTCTGAGCTCTTGATTCTGTTGCACTGGTCCATGTGTCTGTTTTTATGCCAGCACCATACTGTTTTGATTACCATAGCTTTGTAGTGTAATTTAAAATCATGATGTCTGATGATTTTTGACTCAAACCAGGCTTGCATTTGTGGGGTGAATGCTACTTAGTTATGTTGCACTGTTCATTTTAGATATTGCTAGATTTAATTTGCTAATATTTTGCTGAGATCTTCTTCTGCTTTTCTGTTCACGAGGAATATTTGTCAATTGTGTGTTTTTCTTTTCTTGTTTTTGGCTTTGATATTAGGGTATGTTGACCTCATTCCTCTTAAGTGTTCTGGAAGAGATTAAGCAAAATTAATGTTACTTCTTTCCAGAATGTTTGGGAGAATTTACCAGTGAAAACCACTGGGCTTGGAATTTTCTTTATTGAAAAGTTTTATCCACAAATTCTATTTGTTTGATTTCAAAATGTAGGACTATTAATGTCATTTTTTAAAACTGAGATTTGATATCTTTCAAAGAATTGGTCAATTTTGTCTTTCAGTATTTCCTTTTCTTTCTCTTACTGTCTGTAGTGATAACCATACTTCATTGCTGACATGGGTTATTTGTGCCTTATCTCCTTTCTTTTCACCAGTCTGGGTAGGGGGTTACACAAATTTGTATTGATTTGATTCAAAGATCAGTTTTTATTTTTATCCATCTATTGTTATTGTTCTCAATTTCATTGATTTCTCTTTTCCTTTTTTTCTCTTTTGCCTCAAAAAGTGACATTTATTTAAAGAAAAAAAATGACAAGATGTCCATCCCTTGGCTCTCTTTTCTACCCTCTCCTGCTGCTCCTCAGCCCCCACCCCAAGACTGAACTCCGGATGGGGCTAGGTGGCATGATAGCCCCTCAGATGAGGGCAGCAACATTGAGGGTCATTTCATGAGTGGAGGTGTTGTAAAAGGTCTCTATATCTTGAAGAGTCCTCTTGTCTTCTTCTGTAACCATGTCAATAGCTACATTCTTACAGCCAAACCATCCACCTTGACCGGTTCTTTGGATATAGTTTTCCCTGTTGGTGGGAAGGTCATAGTTGATGACTAAAGAAACCTGCTGCACATAAATGCCTCTGGCCTATGTCAGGAAAGACAACTCTTTAGCATGTGCACAAGAATCTATCCCGAAGGGATGACACATGGGTATCCATGTAGGGAGCCAAGGAAGGAAGAGGAAATAAGCATCCCTGTTCCCCAAAGACCTTAGGCATGCCAGATTCTATTCCAAGTTGCTACTTTCCTGAAAGGGGCACTGGATGTCCCCTTGGAGAGGGAATCACCTTGGATTTATTTATTTATGTATTTATTTGAGAAAAGGTCTCACTCTGTCATCCAGGCTGGAATGCAGCTCACTGCAGCCTCAACTTCTCAGGTTTAGGTGATGCTCTCAGCTCAGCCCCTCAAGTAGCAGGGACTACGGGCATAAACCACCATGCCCAGATAATTTAAATATATATTTTTTGGTAGAGACGGGGTTCTGCCCTGTTGCCCAGGCTGGTCTTATACTCCTGGCCTCGAGCAATCCACCCCACTGAGCCTCCGAAAGTGCTAGGACCACAGGCATAAACCACTGTGCTAGGCTGATTTCTGTTTTTAACCTTGATTATTTTCTTCCTTCTGTTTGTTTTGGGTTTGTTTTGCTCTTCTTTAACTAAGTTCTTAATAGGGGAGCTTACATGATTAATTTGAACCCTTTATTCTTTCCTATGTGAGCATTTGATACTAAAATTTTTCCCCTAAGCACTGCTTTAATTATAACTCATGTTTCAATATATCTTATTTTCATTTTCATTCAATTAAAGATATTTTTAAAAATTCCCTTTGATTGTATTTTACAGTGGGTTGTACATTGTTTATACAAATTTTTCAGATATCTTTTCATGATTTACTTCTAATTTAATTACGTTACAATCAGAGATCATTCTTTGCATGATTTCAGTTCTTTTAAATGTATTATTTGGTTTCATGGCTCAGAATATGGGCTATCATGTTGCATATTCAGTGTGCACTTGAAATATGTATTTCGCTTTTAGTAAGTGGAATGTTTCTTGAATGTCACCTAGGAAAAGTTTGTTGATGGTGTTATTCAGGTCTTCTATATTCTTGCTGATTTTCTAGGTCTCTCATTAATTGAGAAAGGAGAATTGAAGTCTCTAAGTGTAACTGTAAATTTTTCTATTTCCTATTTCAGTTTTATTAGTTCTTGCATTATATATTTTGGAGCACGCACCTTGTTAAAAGTACATACACATTTGGAAATGCTGTGTATCTTGGTGAATTGATCCTTTACCACTATAAAATGTTCTTCTTCCTAGGTAGTTATTTTTCTTGTTCCAAAATCTGCTTTGTCTGATATTAGCATAGCTTTTCTAGCTTTCTTTTGATTAGTATTTGTGTATTATATCTTTTTTCATCTTTTTACTTTTAACTTTATCAACATATTTAAATTGAATTTTTTTGTAGATAACATATAGTTGGTTCTTATTTTTAAAATTTAATTTGATAATCTCTATTCTTTAATAGGTACAATTAATATTTAATGTAATTATTAAAATAATTGGACTTAGTTCTATCATTTTCTTATTTGTTTTTTTATTTGTTATTCTTTTTTTGTTCCTCTACTCCCATTTCCTGCCTTATTCTGGGTAATTTTTTAGTATTTAATTTTATCTGTTGGCCATTTGTATATATCTCTTTGAATTATTATTTTAGTTGTTTCTCTAGTGATTACCATATGCAAACCTAGCTTTACACAATCTACTTAGAGGGAATAGTTTATCACTTCAAGTGAAACATATAAGCCTTGTCACTTTACCCTCCTCAGTTTATGTCATAGTTGTCATTTTCATTATATCTACATAACTTGAGAACCCTATAGATAATGTTATAATGTTTGCTATTTACAATAAATATTTTAAAGAACTTAGTATAGTAAAATACTCCATTACCCAAATATTTACCATTTCTGTTGCTCTCTCTTTAGTTCTCATGTTGATATTTCCCTCTGATATCAATTTCCTTCAGCTTTAGAATTTATTTTAGCATTTCATTAAGAAGAGATCTGCTGGCAACAAGTCTCTTAGTTTTTCTTCATCTGAGTATGCTTTCTTTTGCCATCATTCTTTAAGAATATTTTTGCTGGATATAAAGTTCTGGTTAATAGTTCTTTTCTTTCATTGCTTAAAGATGTGTCACTCTCATCTAGCCTGTATGATTTCTGAAGAGAAATTTGAAATTATTTAAACCATTTTCTCTTAAAGGCAATGTCTTGTTTTTCTCGGGTTGCCTTTCAATTTTTTTACTAATCTTTGGTTTTCAGCAGTCTGAGTATGATGTGTCTGGGTATGGTTTATGAGTTTGCTGAGTTTCTTTAATCTGCAGTTATGTCTTTCACTCAGTTTGAGAAGTTTTCAGCCATTATTTTTTCAAATATTTTGTCTATGATTACCTCTTTCTTTCATATTTCATCTCTCCTTCCAGGACTCCATTGATATGCATATCAGATCTTTCGATTATTATTCCAAAGGTTGCTGAGACCTTCTTCACTTTTTTCAGTCTCTGTCTGTTCTTTAGGTTGTATCGTTTCTATTGAACCATCTTCAAATTCACTGACTCCACTGTCATCAACATATTGCTATTGCATCCATCTAGTGAATTTTTTAACTTCCAATATTGTGTATTTGAGTTCTAAAATATCCACCTGGTTCCATTTTATGGTTACTGTTTCTCAGCAATTAATTTCTATCTTTTATTCATTTTAACAGTGTTCACCTTTACCTTATGGAGGATTATTGAAGAGCTGCCCTAATGTCCTTGCCTGATAATTCCAACATTGGGGTCCCTGTGGGTTGACATCTGTAGATTGTGGGTCTCCCTTAATATTGATCCATTTTTTCTAGCCCTTTGTATGTCACGTTATTTTGGTTATACCATGAACATTTTGAATATTGTATTAGTCCATTTTCACACTGCTGATAAAGACATACCCAAGACTAGGTAATTTATAAAGAAAAAGAGGTTTGATAGACTCATTGTTCCACATGGCTGCGGAGGCCTCACAATCATAGCAGAAGCCAAAAGGCATGTCTTACATGGTGGAAGGCAAGACAGAGAGCCAAGCAAAAGGGAAAACCCCTTATGAAACCATCAGATCTCATAAGACTTATTCACTACCAATGAGAACAGTATGGGGGAAACCACCCCTATGATTCAATTATCTCCCACCGGGTCCCTCCCACAACATGTGGGAATTATGGGAGCTACAACTCAAGATGAGATTTGGGTGGGGACACAGCCAAACCATATCAAATGTTATGTGTTAAGGCTCAAGGTTGTGTTAAAATTATATGGAGAAATGTTGACTTTGTTTATTTGTTTAAGCAGGCAATCAACCAAGTTTCCTTCTTCCAGCCCTTTTTGTGATTTTTTTCATACTCTCTAGCTCTCAAGATATTCCTTTTTTTTGGTTCTTGTGGCCAGAGGTGTCTTCTCAAAATTTTAGCCTCCCATGCTGTTATGCAGTCCACATAATTGGCGATGCCTTCACGATGAGCTAGGAGGAGAAAAGAGAGAGAAAGAAATAAAAACATTTTCTCTCCACCATTCACACAGCAGGACTTCATCTTGCCTGGTTCCTCTGGTCATTGAGGTGGATTTTTCTTGGGGTTTTAGGTACTCATGCTAAAGGAAAAGAAAAGAGGGAATCATAATCTCTAGCACGCAGAGGACTTTTCCTCTATCCTCTAGCTGGAAAGAAGGGGTTTCTCCTGGAGTTCTTTACTCTCAGTGCTTGCTTCACAGTTCTAGAACTCAGTCTGCATGCAGGTCAAATAAGGGGAAAAAAAGGAGAGCAAAAATCTATAAACTGTACCCCATGGGTCCTTATTTATTTTTGCTTTAGTTCCCAATGCATTTGTCACTGTGTGTTTTTCAAAGTCCTCAGGTAGTTGCTTTTTGTACTCTGTTCAGAGTTCCTAGTTGTAGTGGGATTCATAGGCTGTAATCAGCTTACTCCGCTTGGGCTGTCACCAGAAGCCTACATATGTTTTCAAAACCTATTTTTTTACACTTCAAATATTTTATAAACATTTTTCCATGCCATTATACATTCTCCCATATCATAATTTTTAATGACTGCATATTCCTTCATATGAGTGTTTATATTGATTGTCTTAGTGAATATATGAATAAATAAATCTTTACACACATTCGTGATTATTTCTTAGGATAAATTCTTAAAGGCAGAATTGCTATACTAAGATCTTTAAGAGAGTATCTTAACATTAAATCAGTTTAGTATCCCTCCGATATTTGGAATATTGATTTCTGTATATTCCTGCTATAGAATGGGATAGAATAGATAGAGAAATAATGCCAATGATCACTAAAGGTGCTTAAACCTGACAATTTCCTGTCCGGTGGATTAACTGCAAATCTTTCACCACATATCACACAAGTGTAAGTTACTAGCTGTCTTTGGCTTGATATTTATAAAATTTGGTGGTATTAGGCATATTTGGTTTGGGCTCATAAAAACTTGAACCAGACATAACTTTTCAGGTGCCTAGAGCATCCTAATTAGGATAGAATGGGCATCGCTGAAGACAGCAAGAATGGCTTTCTGTGTGCCGTAATCATGGGGTCTGTTTATGCATTCCATTCATCTTGCATTAAAATTGTGCTTTAGTTTAGTCATGAGTGATTTATTATGTTCAGTTTGAAGATTTGGCTTCTCAACATTAGGAGTCTGAGGAAAGTGTATTTGCTATAACACTACACATCTTTTTTTTTGTAATTACATATGTATACCTTTGCTGTTTTAAAAAAGACATATGAATATTAAAAATCCCTATAGAATGGAAAAATATCCTCTTCTAAACAATTAAGACATATTCTATGCCAGAACAGATTACTTCTCTATTAGCCCAAGCCCTGACAGAGAAGAGAATTGGTGCACTCAAAGTGGAGAATTTAAATGAGTTTAGTGGAAGAACCATTTACAATTGTGGGCAGGGTGTAGAGATCACAAAATATACAAGTCCCCTGGGGACTGGAGAGTATCACTTCTAGACCTGGAATTTTGACCTTTGGTGCTCATCCAGTGTGCAGGGTGCCCTCAGGGGGTATGTGAACAAAACAGAGACCTCATGTTTCCTGTTCTTTCTCTGTCCAATTTCCTGCCAGTCCTCATTGAGTAAGTCTATCAGAAGTCAGAGGGTCAGCATGCCTCTCAATGCAGTGCACACGTATGTACCAAAGCAAATGCAGGAAAGGTTGGATTGGAATCTCCTTACACATATGTATTCAGAAGACAATGGCTAATTTGCAACTAATTGTATATGATAAAAGAACATTTCTATTTCACCAGGTATTTATAGTAGAATATAAATGATAATTCTTAACGTAAGGCGCTTAGCAGGGCTGGGCGTGGTGTCTCATGCCTGTAATCTCAGCACTTTGAGAAGCTGAGGCAGTTGGATCACCTGAAATCAGGAGTTTGAAACTAGCTTGGCCAACATGGTGAAATCCCATCTCTACTAAAAATACAAAATTAGCCACAGGTAGTGGTGTGGTGGATGCCTGTAATCCCAGCCACTCGAAAGGCAGAGGCAGGAGAATTGCTTGAACCCAGGAGGCAGAGGTTGCAGTGAGCTGAGATCACACCGTTGCACCCACTCCAGCCTTGGCAACAGAGTGAGACTCTGTCTCAAAAAAAAAAAAAAAAGATTTCTTATGAAAATATGCTACCAATTTATTGGAGAATTCTATACAGCATAATATACATCTGTTAATACCTATGATATAATGTATATATTAGGCTTTAAATATAAGGGATAAGCACTTGGGCTTGGGAGT